GGTTCTTAATCATGTTAACCCCTCTACTAAAGCTAAATTGGTTATGGCTAATGATGGCAAGGCCAAACATGTTCTCCTTTATGCCTTGAGGCAACAAGAGTTTACCAGAGTTAAAAATTGAAAAATAGCCAAGGAAATGTGGGATTCTCTTCAGGCAGCTCATGAAGGAAATAAGGTTACTAAGGAGAACAAGATACAGCTATTCAAAGTTCAGTATAAGGTTTGTAAGATGGAAGAAAGAGAAACTGTTGCTGAGTATATGTTCAGGATCAATGACTTTATCAACAATATGACAGCTGTTAGTGAAGATATTAAGGATATTGATGTTTGTAAGAAAATACTAAGGTCACACACTTCTAGATTCAATCCTAAAGTGACAGTTATTGAAGACAAATATCATACTAAAGCGAAGATTGATGAGCTTCAGGCCTCTCTCACTGCCTATGAAATGAGAATTGGTGTTCCAGCTGTTCATAGAAGAGAAGTTGCTCTTAAAGCAAAGGCAGTTATTGAAGAAACTGAAACACAGTCTGAAGATGATCTTGAAGAAGATGAGATAGCCTACCTTACTAAGAAATTCAGGACGTTCAAGTTTAAAAAGAAGAATCATCGGCAAAATCTAACCTGTTATGGTTGTGGTAAACCTGGTCATGTTGTATCTAATTATCTAAACTCAAAGGGGCAAAGTTAGAAGAAAAATGAGGGAGGAAACTACAAAGGAAGCTTTAGTAAAAAGTACTTATCTCAGATTGGGATGCAGCTCCTGAAAAAGATAAATCTGAGGAGACACAAGAAGATTAAAGTCTTTTTATGGCAATTCTTGAAGCACCACAAACTCTAGTTCAAGTTGAAGAAGATAGTGACACTTAGATTGAGGAAGTTCTTGAAGAGTGTGAAAGGCTTGCAGTGAAGTGTGATTAACAGAAGGCTCAGATCAGAATTGTTAAAGTCTGAACAAATTCTCACTAAACACTTCAAAACAGATGTGTCACATTCTTCTCTAGGACCACTGAGACGTGTTACATTCTTCTCTAGGACCCCTGAGACGTGTCACATTCTTGAGTATAGCTAGAAAAGACCATACTACCCTCAAAATAGATTTAACTCTACTCAACACTATGATAGAGCCGAGGCTGTATTCCTCACAATGCAGGCTCAATTTCAGAGCAACACAGGTACCTGAGCATACATATATATATCTTAAATACAACTGAGAAGAGACCATAGTACCCCTATGAGCACTTGTAGCTAAAACTAAAGTGCTGAACCTTCACTGTCCGAGGCTAAGCACTTGCAGCTGCTGAACCTTCACTATCCGAGGCTGAGCACCTATAGCTACTGAACCTTCACTGTCCGAGGCTAAAGCATTGCAATACTTTTTGACATTAAAAGGCAAACATTCCTTAAGGTAACTTATGACCAACAATCTCCCCCATTTGCCTTTAATGACAAAACCAAATAACCTTGAAATAACTTTTAAAGATAAAGGTTCAGTAAGTATAACAACCTAAATACAAAGGAATACCTTTAAACTATCCTTATTCGGTCCATTTCTCCCCCTTTTTGACATTGAAGGTCAAAAGGTGAGTAGGACCAACAATATAAGTTCAGGATGGAGGAGGAACAACCCTGAGAAAAGCTTGAAGGGTTGAGAATCTCTGAGGAAAAATAGGTTTGGTCATGATGTATGTAAGTTGATCTTTAGTAGGAAAATAGGTAATATCAATAAGACCTTTTTGCACTTTATCTCTAAGAAAGTTGTAACGGCCTTGGTTTTTAGGCCAGTGCGTCCTATGATAAACCGAATATAAATCCAATGATGAATCCCAAATGCGGAAGCAAAAGGTGAAACTATGGTCTCTAGAGATACTACACATTTAAAAGACACCAATGTGACCCTCAATGAAGTCACGAAACCCGAAGAATGCAAATGCGGAAACGATGTCTCAAAAATAGACAAGAATGAACCTAGGGGAAAAATGGTCATTTCCTAAAGAAATGGATGCTACAAAGCATGCCATTGGAAAGACAACAAAAAATTAATAAAAATGGACTAAAAAATGACTTGATTTGGAGTCCGGACGAAGAAGATATCAAGTCTTAAAATTAAAGAAAGAAAACCCCTTTCTGGTTCAAACCAAATCCCAAGACTACCTCACTAAAAATTGAATAACTTAAGTTACAAATGGAATCTAAAGCTTTAATTGGTACCATTGGAAAGCTTATTTTGACACAGTTAGTTTCGACTCAAGAATGGAACAATTCGGAGTTGAAATGAGTGAGATATGGCCCTCTGAAGGAAGGTGTCTGGAGCAGGAATAGGTCCCCGCGGGGGCCCGCCCAAATGCTGCAGAGGCCTACCAAATGTGGCAGATCCCCACGGGCGCCCACCAAAATGCTGCAGGGCCTTGCCAAATACAGTAGTGGCTCAAACTGGAACTCCAAAATGCGGAAACTAATTAAGGGGAAACATGGATGAACCTAATTAATCATTTTTTAGGGTCTGCAACCTACTTAAGAGTGATTTTAATCAACAAAAAGTATTAAGCAAATGATGGCTTTAAGGCCTCATTACATATGATCCAAAGTTATACAAAAGATGAAACTAAGGTGAAAATGACATTGGGACTCAACCAATAAGATCACAAGTCCCAATTCCATTTTCCCCTTCAAAAGGGATCCAAGTATAACATATTACACTTTTCAATGGAAATTAAACAAGCTTCAATATACCATACATCCATGGTTTACAAAGAGAATTAAAAGGGGCATGCTAAACAAGTACATGCATACAAAGTTACACAAAAGATAATCCAAAGCAACCAAGCCATGTCTAGGGATGTTGTACATCCCAAAGTAATGCTTCTTTACCTGAAAAACACCCAGTAACTTCGGGGTGAGTAAACAAGTTTACTCCTAGGGAATAAGCATGCATACATTTAACTTATTACAAAGTCTGCAATTCAATAGGATTTAGTCCATGCTATTATAATGGCATTGGAACTTTTAACATAGCACATTGAGATGCAATATCACAAGGTAATGAAGTTTGGAAGTTAAATGCAAAATCAAACCAAAGTGGATACTTGGACATCACGCCGGATCAAACCGACTACATAGTTACTTTAGGGTTACTAACCCATGGGTAACCTCCCTATGTGCGCACTAGACTTGTAGAGGGGCAATCCCCCGTACTAGAACCATGCCCTAGCCTTAGTCATAAGAACAACGTCCCAAGTTTCCAAAATCAACAATTTGTGTAACAACGTATATATATATATTAGCATAAACATTCATACACAATGTAAACCACCTACCATGCATAAACCAATTCTGGAAACACAATACATGCGCTATGTTCATAACTACAATGGCATGAAGAATGTTGAATAATTATTATGCAACTTGTCACAACTTATAACAATTTCATTCAATGATAGGGACATGGCCTCCCAAGTATTGTACAAGTTTAAAATCAGGACTAATCATGTAATCAATATGAAATTTGTACTCAATTCATCAATACAACAAGGGTGAAAATTAATTTAACAAGGCAACTAATTTCTCTAAGTTTCATTTCTCATCCAAACATGTTCAATTTAATATATGCTAGGGTACCTATCATGATCATTACATATATCCCTTTAAAACTTAATTTAAATCATGGGAACATATAAATGGAAATTAATTAATTTAACTAACTAATTTCTCTAGATTTCAAAACAACCCTAAATGACTTCAAGTTAATATATGTCATGAATCAAGTCATGGCCTTTCCAAAAAATATGTCCTAGCTAAATTTCATGCAAGATAAAATTAACTACTCACTTAAATCTTAGATTAGAGACATGTATTCTATTTATATCAAGATATTAAAACATATAAAATGTCAAAGACATAATTTAGAACACCCCCTACCTCACAAGAGGATTGTTCCTCTTGAATGTAAGGAAAGCAAAGGAATTTCAAGTTTTCCTTCTAGGGTTATGTAGAGGAGAGTGAGGTAAGGCTTTTGTATTCCAAACTCAATGATCTAAGGTGAGTGGAAGGAGTAAAAAAATGAAGTCAAAGCCTTAAACCAAGCTTGTCTTCAATGGTGGCTAGTTTAGGGTTCTTGAGAGGAAAGAGATGAATGATCTAAAGTGTGAAATAAAATGTGCAAACCCTAGGTTAAAAGTGGTGGGATTCTCCACTCACTAGGTGCTCTTGCACTACCTCTCACACACATACTTGCAAGACTAAAGGTGAGTCCTACACTTGTCATGAATCTAAGGCTCCTTCCTACACTAAATCCCTAGCCTACATTTGTCAACCATCCAAGCTAATATGTGGTCCAATCCTAGACCAACAAATGGGTGAATCTTTACCCTCCATGTGTCACAAGATTATGCTTCCAAGTCTTTCCACCCCAACGCCAACAAGTGGCACCATGAGAATGTGACACTTGTTATATTTTCCATAAATTGCAAAAAGGTCCCTAAGACGAAAAATAATTACTTTATTTAATTACACAAAAACCCCTCAAGTTATGAATAATTACCAAAAGTCATGCATCCATGCCCTTTACAAGAAAAGTAAACATTTAACATGCTTTTTTACAAAAGCAAAAATGTAAATATCATGGAAATTTAATATCATGGATGTATGCAAAGCCGGAATCAAATCCAAGCACGAAAAGTGAGGTTATGTTAGGAAAAATGAAAAACGAGAAAATGACGAAAAAAAGAAATTACCGAAAAAAAGAAAGGAAGGAAAATGACTGGGTCATTACAAAAGTGATACCTGATGTCAATGTGTTTGCTCTTGCAATGCAGTGTGGGATTCTTACTAATAGTAATAGCACTTTGATTATCACAAAAAAGCTTGGGAGGTCCTGATAATTGAATGCCAAGATCAGAGAGAGTAGTTTTCATCCAAAGTAATTGTGAACCAGCTTGTGAGGCAGCTATATACTCAGCTTCGGAGGTTGAAAGAGATACAGTGTCCTACTTTTTACTCAACTACGAGACCACATTTGAACCCAGAGTGTAGCAACAACCAGAGGTACTTTTTCTGTCAGGTAAAGATCCACCCCAATCAGTATCGGATAAGGCTGCAATAGACATTGAGGATGAGTAAATGTAGAATAGACCATATGAGATGGTGCCCTTGACATATCTGAGGATTCTTTTGGCAGCTTGAAGACGAGAAACCATTGGATTACTTTGAAATCTGGCCACTAAACCCACTGAATTCATTATATCAGGCCTTGAAGCAGTAAGATACAGCAAACTACCAATGATTGACCTCTGAAGTGTTGAAGGAATAGCTTCAGTGATGCACTCTAGTGAGAGTTTGGAAGTAGGACATAGTGGTGTTAAGACATCCTTACAATGATCCATTTTGAACTTTTTAAGTAGCTCTGAGGCACACTTTTGCTGAGAGATGAAGATTCCAGAGGAAGTTTGTGTAATTTGCAGCCTAGAAAGTCTCTAAGAGTCCCCAAGAGTGACATTTCAAACCTTATCTTCATGAGATTGGCAAATTCTGAAGCTAATGAGGTGTCCGAGCCACAAAATATAATATCATCAATATAGATTTGCAGAATTATAAACTATTCTCGATGAGTTTTTATATAAAGAGTATTATCAACCTTGCCTCTGTGAAATCCTTGTTCAACTAAGAACCGATGCAGCTTCTCATACCAGGCTCTAGGGGCTTGTTTGAGACTATATAAGGCCTTACTTAGTTTGAACACATGAGAGGTATACTTCAAATCTTTAAAACTTTCAAGTTGTTCCAGGTAAGCTTATTCATTTAAGTCTCCATTTAAGAAGGCTGACTTAACATCCATTTGATATACTTTGACTTGTTTATGACAAGCAAAAGATAGAAGCATTCTACTAGATTCCATTCTAGTAATTGGAGCAAAAGTTTCATCATACTCAATTCCAGCTTGCTGAGCATAACCGTTACATACCAATCTTGCCTTATTTCTTATAACTGATCCCTTCTCATTCATCTTGTTTTTGTAAATCCACTTTGAACCTATCACATTCTTGTTTTTAGATCTGGGATCGAGTGTCCAGGTATCATTCTTATGAATTTGATCAAGTTCCTCTTGCATTGAGCTAACCAGTCTTTACTTTTCTGAGCTTGAAAATACGACTTTGGTTTAATGGATGACAGCATAGCAAAGTGACTATATTCTTCACCATCTTCAGCTTCTAAATCATTTAGCTTCTTTTTGTTTCTTATTTGAACCCCAGCTTAAGGTGAACCAATGATGTTCTCAGCTTGAACCTGCTTCTGTAGCACTGGATAGGTGACTTCTTTTGGGTTTTCAAGTTCAGGAACTGCGGTACTGGCTTCATTTGAACTAGATGTGTTGTTACTGTCTTTAATAAGCGTTGACTGAGGATTCTCATCAAATTTCACATTCATTGACTCAACCAACTTTGAAGACCTGAGATTGTAGCATCTATAAGCCTTGATTTTTGTAGAATATCCCAAGAATATGCCTTCATCAGCCTTTGAATCAAACTTTGCCAAACTATCAGTGTGGTTCAGTATATAACACTTGCTGCCGAACACCTTGAAGTAGTGAACAGTTGCAGGTTTTCCATACCACAATTCATAAGGTGTTTTGGTTAAATTAGGTCTGAAAAGGACCCTATTTATGATATGCACAGCAGTATTCACAGCTTCAGCCCAAAAACTCTTTGCCAAACCTTTTCAAGCAATATTCTCCCCATTTCTTAAACTGTCCTGTTCTTTCTCTCCACGACTCCATTTTGTTGAGGTGTAGCTACAACAGAGAATTCCTTCTTAATCCCTTTGTCATCACAATAATGTTCAAATTCTTTCATGGTGAACTCTGAACCAAAATCAGACCTGAGCTTTTTCACAGTACAACTTCTTTCATTTTCAAAAAGATTAACAAATTTAATGAATTGTGTAATAGCTTCAGACTTTTCTTTCAAGAAATAAACCCATACCATTCTACTGAAATCATCAATGAGTAGTATGAAATACTTACTATTACCAACACTTGTGGTTCTGGTAGGGCCACAAAGATCCATATGTATTAGGTCAAGAGCCTTAGAGGTGCTGATTTCCTTAGAAGGAAATGACTCTTTGGTTTGCTTTCCTTATTGACATGCTTTACAAAGGTGATTATCCTTAAAAATGATGTCAGGCAGTCCTTTAACAGCTTTTAGTTTTAGAATCTTAGTCATATTTCTTGAATGAAGATGACCTAACTTCTTGTGCCTCAACTTTGCTTCATCATAGGTTGTTAAATTACATTGAGTAACCTGACTTGCTTCAGTGACTGTGTACACATTTCCTATAAATCAATTAGCTGAGAACAAAACTTCTTTTGATTCAAGATCAATCACATTACATCTTTCTTTATTAAAGCAGACTTCCTTCCCACTGTCACACAATTGACTAACGCTAAGGAGATTATATTTGAGTCCTTCAAGCAATAGAACTTCTTGAATTTCTGGCAATTCTTCAGACTTACTCATAGTACCAATTCCAACAATCTTAGCTCTTTGATTATCTCCAAAGATAACATTTCCACCATCAAATTGCTTTAAAGAATTAATTTTGGAACCATCACCTGTCATGTGTCCTGAGCAGCCACTATCAATATACCATTTGTCCTGAATATTACAAGCTTTAAAGGTTGTATACACAAGAAGACTCACAAAGTTCAGCTTCTTAGGAATCCACGTAATTTTCATCTTCACCAATGATCCTTTGTCCTTAACCTTCTGAGCTAAAGCTAAGTCTGACTTCTTAACATACATTCTAGTTATCTTAAAGTTCCTTATAGCCGAGGTAACAAAGTCTCTCTTGTTGAAGCTTAGAGCATTACAGGTGTTATTCAACAACTCAACCTTGAACCTCTGAGGCTTTATGATAGGAAACCTTGCATACACTTCACCAGTTATGGCTTTGACAAATACAGAATGAGTTTGATTTACCTTTGTGGCTGAATCACACACATAGCCAATTCCAGTCTTCCCAATTTGCTTTATGGAATGCTTCCAGATCTCAGCCATCTTTAGGGATCTTTCTTCAAGAATGAGAGACAGTTCTTTTTTACACTTCTTAGTAGACAACTGAGCGTTGACTTGAGATTTCAATAGGCTTTGAAAGATAAGAAACACTAAACACAGCATTGACAGTTTAAGTTTGAAGTGTTTAGTGAGAATTTGTTTGGACTTTAATAATTCTGAATTGAACCTTTTTATCTGAGCCTTCTATTGATAACACTTCACTGCAAGCCTTTCACACTCTACAAGAATTTCCTCAAACTCAGTGTCACTATATTTTTCCACTGAGCCTTTCTTCATCTTTTTATGTCTCCTCAGATTTATCTTTTTCAGGAGCTATATCCCAATCTGAGATAAGTACTTTTCTACTAAACCTTCCTTTGTAGTTACCTCCCTCATTCTTCTTTTGACTTTTCCCCTTTGAGTTCAGATAATTAGATACAACATGACCAAGTTTACCACAACCATAATAGGTTAGATTTTACTGCTGATTCTTTTTTTTAAAACCTGAACTTCCTGAATTTCTTAGCAAGGTAGGCTACCTCATCTTCTTTAAGATCATCTTCAGACTGTGTTTCAGTTTCTTCAGCAACTTCCTTTGCTTTAAGAGCAGCTTCTCTTCTACGAATAGCTAGAACACCATTTCTCATTTCATAAGCAATGAGAGAGGCCTGAAGCTCATCAATCTTCACTTCAGTAAGACATTTATCTTTGAGAATTGTCACTTTTGGATTGAATCTAAAAGTGAGTGACCTTAGTATCTTCTTACAAACATCAACATCTTTAATATCTTCACCAAGAGCTCTCATATTGTTGACAAAGTCATTGATCCTAAACATGTACTTAACAATAGTTTCTCTTTCTTTCATCTTACAAACCTTATACTGAAAATAGTTGTATCTTGTTCTCCTTAATAACCTTATTTCCTTCATGAGCTGCCTGAAGAGAATCCTACATTTCTTTGGCTATTTTACAATTTTTAACTCTAGTAAACTCTTGTTGCCTCAAGACACAAAAGAGAACATGTTTGGCCATGCCATCATTAGCCACATCCAATTTATCTTCAGCAGAGGGGTTGTCAGGATTAAGAATCACAACACCATGTACGGTAGCATCCCAAACATCATAGGATTAAGACATTAAGAAGGCTTCTATTCTAGTTTTCCAAGAATCATAGTTTAAACCTTCAAACCCTGGAGCTTTGTTGACAACTTGATCTTCATCTACTGTTGGGATCAACTACAGGCTTGTTAGAACCTCACAATGCAGACCAAAGCTCTGATACCAATTGTTGAACTAAGAAGGGGGCTGAATTGGCTAACACTTTGCTTTTAAAAACTTTCTCGCACACTAAGCAAGAAATCAAATAACAGATAACACAAGATTTACAAGGAAACCCTCTTAATTAGGGAAAACCTTGGTTCTTGGCCTCGTCCAATAAGTAATCCACTAGTTATATGTATCTTGTTACACACTCAGCTATCTCACTCTCTGCACACACCTATGCACCAAAGTAGACACTAGTTTTCACAACCAATACACACACACTATGCAACCACGCTTAGACCCAAAAAGCTCTCAATAGCTTAATCAATAATGGGGTGAGGGATCATGCCTCACTACCATTTACAATAAGTGTCAACACACTAAATACAATGAATTTTTGCAATAATTAGAATAGGTTGGACAAAACAAAATTCCAAGTTACTACCTTAGAACTGCAATCCGCTGCATCTACGGTCTGAGGGGTAAAATAGGAAATTCCTTTTAAGATCAATTCACTAGTGCCTCATATAGTCTTCTTTCACTGTTGTACTCATGTTCATAGCTTTGCATAATCAAACACAGCATGAGTATTTCACAAAGTTCAGTCAAAGTTCTTGTGTTTAGAAAAAAACAACTTCAGCATAAAAAGCTTCGACACAAGATAGCTTCGGCACCAATAGCTTTAGCAAAGGATGGCCTCAGTACAGAATAGCCTCAGTATAAATTAAGTTTAGTACAGAACAGCTACAACACAGAATACTCAAAATCAAAGCATGCTATATCTTTGTCACAAACTTAACTTTATCAATCTTAATTCATCAAAATATACTAGCTAGCAGCATAGATCATCATGAAATAGCTAAGTATAATCAAATAGCACTCGAATTCAAGATTTCTTTAGAAAAACAAGCTTAACTAGTGACCACACCGTCCAATTTCATTTTCAGCATATTCTTAACACAAACACTGTCTGAACAAGTGTAAAAAGATGAATTATACCTGTGTTAACCTTCAGAATCGATCACAACAACTTGAAACACCAAGTCACTACTCAATACAGCCCTCGCATT